ATATATATATATATATACTGTATACATATATCATAACACTTACCAAGAGGAACTTCAACTTCTTCCTCTCTTATTGTTTTGAAAAAGTACAGACACGAACTACGGTCCTCCTCAGAGACAACGTTCAAAAAGCGGACAATTTTCTCCTGTTCCTGTCCATTGTCCCGTTTGAGGAGTTCGTCGAAACACTCGGGATACTTTTTGCCTAAAACAAAACCGGCGGTGACCTTCTGTCGGATCCACTCCACCCGCAAATCGYCATGTGCCATTCCAATAAAATAAATTAATAACTTAACAAACTCAGCAGCTAAAACCGTCGGAACAACACGGACGGACTGAACTTGTTTCCCGTTGCCATGACATCGGTTCAGTCTCGCGGTAGTTGAGTCAGAGGGAGTCTTTGACCTGAATCTTGACTTGAAGGCGAAATCCTCCTGAGTAATTTCGTTCAATTCAAATTCAAGAATACAAGAATACTTTATTATTAATCCCGAAAGGAATTTACAGATGAATTAAAGACGAAAATATGCTGCTTCGAAATAAAGAGGTGTTGTCGCTAAGCTCAATAAAAAGAGATGCATTTATAATAGAAACAGATTTTTTTTACATAATACCAGTGTTAATTTAACACCCACAGTGTTATTTTCAACACCAACAATGTGTATATCTGTGTCCACACTTGCTGATGTTAAAATAAAATTTGTGAAAGTGTTCAATTTTAGCACACTTTTTTATTTAACACCAACCAGTGTTTAATATTCAACAATACTGGTTGTCACACGGGTGTCACATTAACATTTCAACAGTATTAAAATATAAGTAACACTAGTGCAGGGCTATTCAATTGGTGGTCCGCGGGCCACATCCGGCCCGTGAGTGACAACAGTTTGGTCCGCCAACTCGTTCATTCATCTTTTAAGCCCCAGACCCCTTGTTTGCCACTTTAACTCTAAGTTCTTTTAGTTAGACATAGACATATTTGGTATCCACCGAAACATACGAATCTTGGCTACAAGCTGGTAAAAACCATTTCTATGAACATCCAGGACAGTCAAAACTACAAACAGTTGAAGATAAAACTGTTTTCGTGAAAAGTGACCCTTCAAATGTTAAATGCCAAKCCTGAAACGTTTCTGTCTCACACAGCTCTTCCAAGTGACCATCCTCCTGCCCACGCAGACTGGCACTGAGGTGCACAAACAAGGAGAAGCTGCCAGTGTTCCCAGGACATACCTGAGCTCAGCRTTCCTAACAAATACCTCGGGAAGCAACAAGTAAACTATAAGCTTCAAACAGTTTGTGGGCCAATAAATATAAACTCTGTCACATTTAAAACACCGGGAACAGATATAAGAATGCATCCATTCATCCTCATCATTTTTTCACCCATTTCTCCGTTCAGGATCACAGCAGCAACTGAGGGTTTTTTTCACACCTAAATATTGTTTTTGTTTGTGGTGGTAAGACATAAATGACTTTTAATGTCCATTCAGAAATCCCCCATTCAGGCATGTGCTGATTGATGATACTGTCCAAAACTTTCGTCTGAACTGATCAGTGAAGATCATGGTTTGCCAGTAGAGGTCAGTAAAAGCTTTTTCTCTGTTTCTGCTTTCTTTTTCAAGCCACAGTTTTTTTTCCTGTCTGTCCATCAATACATCCATTTTTTATTTTTTGTTTTTTCACCTGCATTTTCTTTTCTGGGACACGAAGGAGCTGGTGCTTATCTCCAGAAGTTATATATAAATCCCTGGGAGGTGGGAGAAGAGATGCCTTTTTTTTCTTACCGTTGATACTATGGACAATTATACTTAGCAAAAAAAGTAAGAAAATTTGGGTTTGGTAGATTATTTATTTGTTGTAACAATGCTTCATGACAATAAATCTTATTCGTAGCTCAAAACACGAGTTAATAGCAATAACAGAATAAGCTGTTCGACAGAGAAGATTTGACAAATTTTTCATGTGCACAACCCACATGCTCAGCTTTATTGCTCATCCCACAAATGCATGTTCCTTATGTGGCATCATTTAAAARAGAAATTAACAGGTTTTCCACTGGTAAAAGATTTATTAATAAGAAGCATTGGCTCAACAATGAAATAATCTAACAAACACAAATGTTTAACAGAGTAAGATTAAGATTAAAGTCTTTATATAACTTGTATTGGAGCAAGTTAGAGTTTCCAAAGATGATTATGTTCTCTGTTGGTAAAAATGTTCAGCGTTAAAGAGCCAAACCTGGACATTAATTTTATCCACAGCTTCAGTCATCGAGTTCGCAAAAATCAGCTCTCTGTCTATGAGCTAAAAAAAATTAAACCTCATGTTGCACGGCAGAGGATAAACTGACCGCTGCTGCACTGACCTGCGTGGTTAGTTTGGCCAAGAGAGTTCTGGGGAAAAGAGTTCACACAGAGCAGGCTGAGGTGGGGCTGCTGGAACAGCTGTGTTTGCTGAGACAAAGCAGATATCTGTTGAGTGTTGCTTTTTCTTCTTCGAGTAGATTTAAAGAATTTAGGTCAGAATCAATTTAACTGAAGTGTACAAGCAAGGAAGGACAATTAACTCGTGCATTRGCACACAGTTATGCACATGCAGAAACTTTGTGTTCAAAAACACAGAAAGCAGAAGTTACTGCAAACTTTGAGGGTTTTTAGCTTCCGTGATGCAGGGAAGCAATGCAAGTACCTGCTTAGGGAGATTCTGGGAGAGTCGAGGGGGAATAAACCACAGCACAACCGCTCAGCCAGAGTTTTTCCACTGCAGACTAGCGGAACGAAACACACACTCCTTGCACAACAAATGCAAGCAATTAACTGAGGCTCAGACTGAATCATTCACAAGATGTGTTTTATGGGGCAGAATGTTTTCCAAAATGTGCATTAGTTTCCACATATCGATGCATCATGTAAATTTATATCTTGGTTTAAGAAGGCTCCCAGTCTGGTCACTGACAGTGAGTTTCCTGAATGACAGATACGACAGAGCAGCAGTCTGCACTCATTCAGAATGCAAATGGAAAACAGACAGAATCCAGCAGGCTGTGCAGCTGAAGTCAAATCATCATYTTTCTGTTACCCTTTCTGAACCCTATGCAAATTTATGACACACGTGACCTTTAGCAGGACCTGACACCTCTGATGACTTTGTTCTTTAACAAATACACTCTACTCGATATGACTCCCCATTCACTTTCAACACCTATTGATGCCAGCATTGGACGGTTACCAGTGATTTTTGGATATTTATCAATAAAAAGAAAAGAAAAGCCAGGTTCTGYAGACTACATCTCACTTCACTTCACTTTATTCCTAACTGATCTCTCTTTTTAAACTTGGACCAACACCTAGCCAAAACTGGGAAGCATGCGGTCTTTAGCAAGAGAGCATGCTTTCCAAACACAATGAGTAAATCATGTAAAAAAAAAAAAGGGACTCCTTCCACGTAATAAGTTATCTAACATCTTCTAGGTACATTTTATTTTGATTATATTGCAAGATTTAACCACTCAACATGTATCTACAGATGTTTGTTTGACACTTGGTCTCCACTGTGGAATAAAACTTTCCACAAAGTTGAATCTTGGTCAGATTTTCCATGTGGGCTTAAATACTATAGGAACAATCCAGAAGCTAAGAGCAACAGCATATACTGTATCATCTTCCATATCACATGACTCAAATTAACTGTATGTGGATAAATTATTTGGTTTGTTGCCTCAATATTTGGATTAAACAAAATAATGATGTAAAAATGTATTTTCATTTATTGGCAGTATTTAAAACTACATTTCTGACCACAGTTTATGTTTAAGTTTCTGACTGATCATAAATGTTTTTGACTAAAAAGTAAAAATACTGTATATGAAGGCAGCATGCCTTAAAGAAATGCACGCATCATCATCTTGCATGCAAGTTTTAAAAAAAGATTTTGCAAGATCTGTTAGCACTATGTAATGGGAATGACTCTCGGTTACCACCAAAACCAAATTTTACATCAATATTTGTCAAAATGACTAAGTTGTAGCCATTTTTGTGTTCACTAAAGTCGATTAGCRTTGGTGGTAATCTTAAATTGGGGTTGACTCCAAAACTAATTCAGTTGTAGAAGTTCTGGTTTGTGACATTTGCTAACAGATGGAGAAACACACGGCTACGGGAGCACACACACACACACACACACACACACACACACACACACACACACACACACACACACACANATGTAATTTACTTCACCTCCCACCTTTCATGGCAGCGGGTGAAAATAAATTCCCCCAAAATTCTATGTGCAACCTGGATCACAGAAGAAAAAAAAACAACTCTAATTTATATTGTGTTGCGTAATATTTAAAAAATCTGGGAGTGGATGATGAATTGTTCTGAGTCAGAACACATCAGGAAAGCAAAATCCACAAAAGTCCTACGGCTGCCAGCACAAAATAAAGACTGTTCTTTTTTTCTAGAAGAATACACAGATGCATACAGAATGCTGACAACAGACACTGAAAAATACGCATTTCTCAAGACTGAATATCAAACTAGCATGTGTAGCAATCAGCTAGTAAGCACTTGCTCGTTGGTTTTCCAAAATATATGTTTTTATTTGGTTTCTGTGTGGTGTTTCAGAGAGTTTGCGTGTTCATTCTCTGTTGCATTGACTTTGTTTCCTTAAAAAGCAGCTGAAGATTCATTCAGACAAGCTTTTGGTCAAAAAAGGCTTTATTGTGCTTTTTTGTTAGCCGGTAAAGCAGCCCCTTGTTCTTTGCTTCRCTTCGTACAGAGGGTCTGGACTTGTGGCTATTGAGCGATTGCTTGCTGGAGGCGTGGACTCAGTTGAAGTTTAAAAAGACTGGATCTGATTTACTCAATCGCCAACGTTTGGCCGTGACATATCTAGTGTGCCAGCTCGACCGTGAAAGAGGCTAAGCGAAGAAGCTAACCAGAAATTGCATGCGCAATGAACAACTCTCYGCTACTGGGAAGAGAGAAGTACTAAGTTGAATGAAATGAGTGTTGCAGGCTTTGAGAGGCCACGTTGTCTTAATTTGGAAGGCTTGTCAACACGGACTGACTTCATTCACTTCCTCTGCTGCCATTGCTAACAGGCTGACTAAAATGGCACAGAAAATCGACATCATCATTCAAAACTCCTTCTCCTGTTCACTGATTGGTCTGGTTAAAATTCTACCATGGAAATCCTTGTCAATGGAAGAAAGATGGAGCAGGGAAGGGAAACTGGAATTGAGCTGAATTGCGTAGGAAGGCAAGGGCCAGGCTACTTATTTGTATTTATGTCTGAATAAACTACCTAATAAATTTAA